TTACCATTCCTACTGAAGGAAAGCAAGACAAGAGGCAGGGGAAAAACAAAAACGCCCACTTTCCAGAGCGATCTTGGTGTGACGTGTCTAGTGGGACTGTGACAGACTGAAAACTCACTTGGCCTTTCCCACAAATGCATGTTACTACTCATTACCATAGACAATGAGGTTTATTTATTGACACTTCAGCCCAAATAGCCTCTCCACTTTGAAAAGGGCACAAAGAGAGACTGAGGGATGGTGAAAAATTAAAGTATCACAAAAACACAGAAACACACAGGGTACAACATTACCAGAGTGCATTTGTTGTTTCACTTCTAAAAATGGTCATTGAAATAGGATAAAGTTTAAAAAAAATAAACTGATATTACATCATAGGAATACAAGACAGTTATTCCTCTTTTTTGTACTCTAACATAAAACCTTAAAAAAGTGAAAATCATTCTTTACCTTCTCTTCATGGTGTTACGAATATAAACTTTGTGTGCTGTTAAAAATTGTTTCACTTGATTTGATGTTGAAAATATGCTGTTTTTTTATTTTGTTTTTTTTTTTCTATGGAGAATGAAACCAAACTTATTTTTTAAATAATTTTTGAAGTAATTTTACATTTCTATTGAAAACACTAAAATTGATGTGTTTTTTTTTTCACAAAACATTTTCATGAATGCTGCGACAGACTGGCGACCTGTCCAGGGTGTACCCCGCCTCTCGCCCGGAACGTTAGCTGGAGATAGGCACCAGCACCCCTCCCGACCCCACTGAGGGACAAGGGTGTTCAGAAAATGGATGGATGGATGGATTTTCATGAATGTCTTTTTTTCAAATCTGTTTTTTTTTTTTTCTCTCCATTCAAGTTTGATCAGTGTTTTTTATTACTAAATAGGTCATGAGCAGCTGCTGACTATGTAGCATTGTAGCATTTAGTGAGTTGTGGTACTCAAATTGTTTACAGATCATTTTTTCCCAGTCTGTCCCTCTTTTTTCAAAGTTCCCAAAATGCTCTGAAAAAAAAAAAAAACAATTTAAAAATGGTGGAAGCTTCTTGATAGCTTTTGCAACAAAGTGCAGTCTGTGACCTCGATAAGAAGTATTTAATAGCCGGCTCTGTTCATACAACAGGGTGACTCAAAAACTACTTCCTTCCTTTCTTTGAGAGAAAAATATATTTCCTGTCCACAGAAAAGTTATGCTCCAATGTGACACTCTGATTAAATTCAATCATTTACAGTTTTACCTGATATTATGTATATAAAGCTCACCTGTCCACAGGATCACTTGTTTCCATTCAAACTGTCATAAAAATCAATGAGAGCATCCACAACAATCTTAGTAAGGAGGTTAGAATTCTTGATCATCATCTTGGCTTGTGATGAAGATAATCATCAAGAGGTAATGTGGTTATTCAGGATCTGAAGGCAATTGGGATCAACAATAAAACCACTGGTAGCATTGACAATGACTGATATTTTGCAGAACTGCCATAGAAGGCATGTTTTAGGTTTACCAGTAAACTTCTAAAGGAATCAGATGAAGACGGGAAGAAAGGGCTGTGGTCAGATAAGCTCGTTGATGAGATATTTGGTGTCAGCCCAACCAATCATGTTTGGAGGAGCAGAAATGCTAAGAGCAAATCACCACAATCATGGAGGTGGAAACTTTATTCCTCTGCCTGTTGCTTTAATGATCGTTCATCACACATGCGACAAATACGGCATACGAACGTTCCAAAACATGGAGGTTTGATATTCTCTCTCCTCAATAAAATGAAACTACCATAACATAGACTTCTTCTTTGTAAGGAAACGTACCAACTCACCAAAGCATCAACATATTTTTTCAACACAGTATGCTTAACAGTAGATGTAACCGAATTAAATTAAATAAGCCAATAACAAGCCTGCATGTTAATGAATCTGAAATTACTCGTTTTTATACTCTAAATGAGAAACATAATTTGCTTTTGCTGCTAAAAAAAAGATCAACACGAACACGAATAGCCAATTTATAAAACTGCATTCATCTTCTTTAATTGTTCTCGCTAAGTAATGTTTTAATTTTAATTGAGCATCTTTGTGACAATATCTGCTAATCTTTCAATTACAACCTCATTTAATTGTCTGTAAAGCTTTCTGCTCTATCACTTATGAAGCTGACAGCACTCAAAAATTGGCCCATGTACACAGCAGGAAATGACAAATGTGGAGATTGGAGAGAGGGAGAGTGGAGCATTCAGGGAGAAAAACAAAACTAAATATGTTTGTCAGGAGACAAAGGAGTGAATTAACTCAAAACAAAACTGAATACATTTCAATGTGCTCTCGACAGGTGGTGAGGAACAAAACAAGGTTTCTAATTCCAGCACACAGACAAAAAAGTTTCCCATCTCTTCTGCATTATGACTTTCAAAATTGGTAGCGGTTTCATCTCAAGATGAGACTTTCATAGGTTCGCTAATACTGACTACATTATTTCTAGGAGGTGGGATGGGAGGTTCAGCGTGGAAGAGTGAAAACCATTCTGTGGTTCACTGGAACCTGAAAGGAAAACATTACCTCAGAGACAAACACATTAAACCAAAAATCACAAAGCCATAGAGCAGAAGACAGGGGTCTGACGAGCGAACCGCCAAAACTGGTGCAACCCAAAAGAACAATCAGAGACAATTTTTAGGCAGTGAAACTGAGGTTCATTGAGTTGAGATAAAAATCCCAGGGCAGTTAATTGAAAGATAGATATTAGAAATATCCTTGAAGAAGCTCTAAACCCAAATACATGAAGAATGAATTAGTGCATAAGTTGATTTGTATTTTCTCCATGAAATGTCTATTCTGACGATCTTCAATAACTGGACTACAGATCCAAATAGAGATAATATTTCCATGGAGAAATGCTTGTTGCCGAATATCTGGGATAAATTCTCCTGATTCAAAATCATAAGTTTTACAATCCCTGCAAATCTATGGTCAAAGCAGAACAAACTTGAAAGGGTGTCCATTATGCTATTGCATTTATTATTGCATTAGAAATGTTAAAAAGAATGAGTTTCTAATTTTATCAAGCTTTTTATTAGTGAAAAAAAATATCTAATTTGATAAACACACAGATACTTACATACACTGTATGAAAAGACAAACATTTTTGTCCCATTTTTATGTTTATTCAGACTAAAATATTTATGTTTTAGATCAGTATTAATTACCAAATTATCTCGGTTCATAAACTTTGTCTAAATTAAGAAATTTACCTTTAGGTACTTTTCTGCTAGATTCCTTCAAATAGAAATGGTGTAACTGAGTCAGGTTTATGGAGATCCTTTCATAAATCTGTTGAGGTATGTCCTAAAAAAATATGCACAAGAAAACAGTTTGAGGTTTGTCTACAGCTGGTCTAAATTTAGCAGTGAATTCATCTATCAGAAGCTTACAAACCACTTTCACCACACAGCTGGTACTTCAACTTGTTAATAAGTGATGTTTATTAGTGTTTGAATTCTTCATTATATCTTCATTTTCTTTTTATATACTTTAGTGTTTCTAAGGCAAAAAGAACACAGCAGGCAGATATTAGTTTTGCAGTGACATTTATCTCTCAGTGGAAAAAAAAGTGAACTATTTTTTCACTCAAGAACATATGCTGAGCAGCGTTGGACATTCAGGACTGGTATATTATGCAGTGATAATGAGATATTAGACCATATCTCATTAAGATAAAGCGAGAAATGGGCCTCTCGGGGTCGGAGGGTAATCCATGTTATGGTGTCCTGGCCACAGTGCCAAGCAATTAAGCTCAAGAAACCGAGGACAGACGGAGCGGTGTGAACTTATTAGAATCCAGATTTCATAAGGCTGCAATATCCTAGTAAGGAAAGAACAGGGAAAACCCAAACTGCAGACATTTAATTAATATTTTCCTCATATCTGAGATAGTTTCTCAGGAAAATATTTGCATATAGTAAGAAAATAACCAAATTTTCCTTCTGGTGATGTATTTGAATTAAGAAGAGAAAAACAGATGCCAACTTTGCAATGAAGCCAGTTCTTTTGCACATTCACATATAAACCAAGCGAGTGTCTCATGCCAGAAGTGAAAAACCAACGTGACGCTTGCCAGCAACGATCTCCAACCAATTATGATGTATTACCAGAGATACTTGGCTATCAGAGAAGCCAGCATATCTGCCCTTTCGCAATAAGATGCAACGTTTCCAGGCACACACAGGCCATTGATTAGAGAGGCTCAACATGCCGCCTGCAGTCTATCAACGCTCAGGGACCGGTAATCAATTCTCTAATGCCGTTTGAGCCTATTCACTGCAGCTATGATCCACTGGTTGCAGATGCACATACACACCGAGAGCCACCAACAAATGTCGATGAAACCCTATGAGCAACCAGGCATAAAACAAATATAACCCAGATGGCCATCGAAAAACACTGGACAGCTCTCAAACGGGAACCTACCAAGTGTAGCGGCGATAGGGCAACGTCATCTACTGTAATGGCATTATCAAAATGAGAGCAGCTCTCCTGAGGCAGACTCCGGTTCCTGATTACCTAGTAGTAGAGGACCGTGTTCATGGCCAAATCTGATCAACATAGCACCAGACATAGGGGTGGCAAGTCAGGAACTAAGCCCCTTATCTCTTCTGACAGGCCAGAGCTCCTTTATGGCCAATGATATCCTCCGAGGAATTAATCTGATTGAGGTCAGTTAAAAGATTATGTTCTAGCAACGCCGCTAAAAGGAAAGTTAAAGTCCAATTTCTCTTTTGAGAAACTTGGATCAGAGTGAGTCACAATCTCTGAAGGTTTTCTAAACCAGCTGACCACTAATACCTTAAGACATTGTGTTTGAGATACCAGATTAAGGGACAAGAAGCAAATAAATTAGTCACAAAGCTTCATTACCACAACAAAATCAAGAATTTCTTAAGAAAATTCAATTTTAATGCAAAAATATTTAAATAATTAAAATTACACAGTGGAGTTAACACTCACTTTGGTGTTTGAGTGTCATCCAAGCGATTCCCCAGCTGGAACTCATGGGATTTGCTCCGATGCAACGCCGTGAAGCCAGGCAGCAGATAGATGAGCTTGCGGCTTGGTGGCGGTGGCGTTCCAGGGGCCTTCACTTTGTTCCTTCGTCTCATGGGGGGAGTACCCGGTGGAGTCATGGTGTTGACCACCAAAGGAGTCCGCGGAGGTGTGTGACCAAAATGCCTTTGGCGAGGTGATGGGGGCAGGGAACGGTGACCAGAGTCAAAGGAAGGGAAGAGTCCTGTGGCGGGGTTTTCAACAGTAAGTCGATCTGTGTAGAAAGGGGGCGCCAGGGCTTGTGGACTGTGGCACATGTGCTGGTTGTACTTGGACTGAACTTTGGGGCTTTGGGAGAGCTGGAAACGAATCCACTGACTGGCCTCTGGCTGGCAGACTGGAGTGTTTTCCTTTCCAGATTCAGAGGTGGGCCACTGGATGGACCACTCCTGTTTTGCTTGGCTCCCTGTTAAAAAGGACATTACAAAACATCTAGTTGAGACGTATACAAAAAAATTGTTTAAAGGGTTTAAATGAACAGTGCCTTGAAAAACTTTTCATAGTTGAACTTTTTCATATCTCTCATTATGAGAGACTTTAATGTTGTTTATTAATTTTGTATTTTATAGAAAACCAAAACGTAACCTAGCTAATGTCAAAAGAAAGAAATGCTTGGTTTTAAAGACTTTGTATTTTTAATATGTGTCTACAGCCATCATTGTACATCTAAATACTGAAGTTTATGCCCATGCTTCTTTGCAAAAATAGTACATGAAGAGCATTTTACAGGTCTTGCCACAGAGTTTCAAATGGATTTAGGTTAGGACACTGACTGGGCCATTCCAACACATGAGTTATGCTTTGATCTAAATCAGTAGTTCTAAGTCTGGATTATCCAGATCCATTGTCCTGCGTGTTTTTGGTGGTTAGTTTATTGTTCTAGTGGAAGTTAAATTTATGGGGGGTTTTGACCAAAGCAACTTCATGGTTTTCTCACTCTTCAAACTTAAAATTTGACTTTTTATTGCATTTTCTTCTCTTCCATAAATACCAGATTGCACTCATGATCAGTGTCTTTGGTTTTCATGATGAGGTTGGTTCACTAATGTTTTCTTACAAACATTTGAAGCTAGATTTTTATATGAAACCCCAAGTGATTATTTTTCTTGCACATTTATTGTCCACTACCTTGTTTTTGTCAATCCTTTAGAATCCCTGTTAAATACATTGCAGTTTGTGGTTGTAATGTCACAAATGTAAGAAAGTTTCTCTCTTGATATGTATAATAGGTTAATTATTATCCAGTTAATGCTAACCAGTTAGTCAAATATGCTTATGTTATTTCAAGTTTTCCATAAAAATCAGAGTGAGTATTAAGAACTTCAATTTCTTGCAGGCTGCAGTGGAATCACTATTAGGGAAGAGGTCTGTTTAAACACAACTTAAGAGAATGAACTGCTGTGATACGTTCACATGGCAGTAAACTAAATTTCAAGTTGCTTGCTTATTTACACTAAAGTCAACAGACCTGCAGGAGAACCACAGGTCTTTGTGGTTCTAATTCAATCATACTGCTTGAGATTTTTAGTGTAACTTGAGTGAACATCTCTGCATATAACCACATGATGATATCTAAGCAGGTGTTTACGTTTACTTAAGTGCGGCAGATTGTGATGTCTCTTAATTGGACAGAAAGGGCAATGTTTCTGTGCAGCGCAGGCAGCAAGCGGATGTTTTGCAGCAAATGAAATGATCAGTTTTGCTACTGGAGCGTTGACGTTACTGTTGCCACATGTCTCCATATTAGTAGAGCTGCTGTGTTTAAAATGTGGTGATGGACGCACTATTCAGCAGAAGTGGATGGAGCGATAGAGTAAAACATAAAAACAGAGCAGGACAAAGCTGCATGAGTAACATCAAGCAACCTGTGATTGAAACTTCATGTTCACTGAAATGAAAAAAGATGAAAAGCAGTAAAAGATTTAAAAGTGGAAAGCCAAAATGAGTGTTTTTGAGTTTAAGTGACTATACATTACCTCCGTTACTGTGCAATTTATCCTCCTCAAGTTGTTCTTCAGAAAGAAACAAAAAAATATGTGTTTATTGATCTGGAAGGAAAGCAGCAGAAATACCAGCTTTTGTTCTACGTGCACTTATGCATGGCTAAAGGTTCTTTTTTTAGAAAAAAATTATAATATTATTAAAATGTATCCTGGAAACTTTTAAGCAGAAGCATCAGTTTCTGCGTGGTTAAGTTCTTGTTAAAATGTCCTCCTCTAAAAATTCCCTCTGACCTTCTAGCCACTATTAATGCATATTTCTGTGAGCAACTTTCAATTTGAAGTGTTTTTGTGTCATTATTTCTGCTCCCACGGCATTGTCTCTAAGGAAATGTAAACATCAAAAACACGAAACTTCAAACATAATTTCTGTACCAACAAATGAACCACTGGAAATATCTGCAGTCAAATATTCCCACATGAGTTGGAAGACTTGGGGTAAAAATGCCACCAGCCTTTTTGTGTTCTTTAATGTTATAAAGATGAGTTTAAGAGAAGCGATGAACTGTGAGAGGAAAAAAGGAAAACAGTAAAAGTCCTACTCATAAAAAAACTATTTTCATTTATTATTGTTTTAAATAAATCATGCAAATGGTTTATTTCACCTTTTATATTTGCAACATTAAGTCCTCCAGAAAGTTTTGTGAAGTAAATTTTAGTTTCTAATAATACAGAGCCAACTTGTTTAAAATGTAATTTCTTTGTTTGCACAAAAACTAATCCAATTTAGTTGTACCATATCCAATCCCATCCAATCTATAATAATCTGGTTTCTTTTCAAATATTTATTCATATAATGCAATTCAGCAAATATATACTTTTTCTGAGACATTCAAACAATCTACACTCACAGAAATCTAACTCCATGCCGACAACATGCCACATGTCAAAGCCTGTGATTAAATTTTAACCCAATGTCAGTGAAACAGGCAGTACAAGTGGTTCGTTTCTTGTCTCTCGCTGACAACTTATCAGGGAACCTGTCGCTGGTCTAGTTGTCATGGGAACCTGTTGGTTCAGGCACTGCATGGCACATAATATCTGCACGATATTTTCCTTTATTTGATGTGCTTCTTAAAAACAAGAAGTCAAAGTATTACCAACAAGTGTCTTTTATGATCTGGATGTAAGCGCACAACAATAGCTAATGCTTGACAACCTGCTAACACATTTTACATCTACAGTATAGAAATTAGTCGGAATCTCGAGTCAACGTGCTTTAGCCACTCTGCCCTCAGTGTGACCACCTAAGAAACGCACTTGTGTTTGAACCCGACATCTCCTCTGAAAAACGTATAAAGATAGAGAGAGAAGATGAGGGCCTGATAGAGTGCTCATCTAGAGATGCAGAGAGAATTGTGGCTTCTTTCTTAGCAGAGATATACCCGTCGCAGGCCACTGGGAGATGTAAAAGTTCAACTTGATGCCACGTGAACATTAATCGACTCCAATAAAAAAGTTCACAAAATCGAAGCTGACATCACAGATGGGAGGCAGCAGGAAGATGATTGAATGTGGGCTGGTTGAAAGGTGTTTAATGACTGACGTTCGAGGTGGCAATTAGTGTGGTGCCTTTCAAAATTAAGTTGTTTCTGGGAATGTTGACCGATCACCTTTGATTTGAGTTATGAGCTTCCCTTTGGTAATTATAGTCTTGCATGCGGCTGCCTCTCTTTACTGTTACTTCTGACAGTTCTCGTTAGATGATACCCAGGCGAAATTTCTCTGCAAGAGAAGCAGAGAGCTTGACTCTACCTCGTGAAACTGTTGCCTCACATAATGAGTCAATTCATGGAGAACATTAGTATCTTAGCAACTGCCTCAGGAAAATACTGTCAGGGCTTGTGAATTTATTCTGTCACATAGTTTCACCTGAGCAAAGGACTGTGGCTAACTAAAAACAGTTTGATGATAAATGAAAGGAAGAAGGCACACCAAGCACAACCCCTTTGAGAACTGCAATCTAACTTGTTAGTCATTTTCACAAGTACATTTCAGAAGTTTCATCTTTGCAAAGCTTTGATCTTAAAAGTACATATCTATACTTTAGAATTTATTAGAACTTCAGAGAGCTGATATTAGTAATACCAGGACTATAGTCTACCCTGCTATTCTCTAATGTTTCTTTGAAACATCGTGAGTGTTTCAAATGGACTCCAAAAAAAGATAAGAAATCATGCTTCACCACTTAAAGGGTTCAGCTTCTCCAAAACAGGATGACCATGTGATACAAAAGCAATATCCAGTCATGAAGGCCATTTGTATAATAGTATGTGTCATCATGTTTTTAGTACATAGTTTTTAGTAGTTGCAATAACAATATGTTCATGATGATAATTGGCAATGATCTCTGTTGCACAAGGAAAAGTTTTTGGTTTATTTTGTTTTGCTACAGTATAATGCTTTAGGGATTTCTATTTGTTTAGGTTCTCAGTGGCAGTGTATGCACTTAGTGATGCTGTGGTGTTGGCTGGAGGAAGATTCAGACTCAACAGCTTAAAAAGCTTAGAGGAAAATCTGCAGGAAAGAACTGCACCACTGCTTTCCCTGCTAATTGTCCATCCCTATCATAACAAGATTAATTATTTACAGCTGCAAGCTCACTGAGCATGCATAGATGCAAGTTGGACAGACATTATTGTTGATCAAGGAGTACACTTGCATTTGCTATATATTGCTGATACCTGCTCCTTCTACATTAAGAGATGTGACACACTCTTATACACTTTATATAAATGAAACTAATAAAATTACGTTACATGGTATATGTCAACTAGAACACAAAACATCAATATATTTTAGATGTCGCAAATGTTAAGAATACAATGTTAAAGCTTAGAAATTGCCATTGTAAAAGCTTTGAAATTTGCTCGGTATGTACTTTGGTTGGCGAATTGGTGTCTTTCTAGGTAATTGAATTGACTGGAGGTTTGCTTGGCTGGTTGGTTCTTTGGTTGATTGGGAATTTGATAAACTGGTAGTTTGACTGGTTGGTTGGTAGTTAGGTGGTTTGGTTCACCCTCAGGCTGACTGGTTTGGGTAGCTGGTTAGTTGATTGACTTATTTATTGTTGTGGATAGTTAATTGATTTGTCTGCTCAAGAAATAATTTTTGTTGAGCTTTTAGTTAACATAACATCCATATTACTGTGAAAATGCAAAATAAAACATAAAATCTGGAAGAATTATAGATGCAAACTATTAGTTCCTCTTCATACTGTTTCACTTTATCTAGCAAATATGTGACAATTCTTCACTTAACATACTATCAACTAGACTGACATGTAGTTTGGCATTTTAAAGGTTTCTATTGGCCACTGGACTGTGACTTTAACAGTTTGCTCAAGCTTATTGTCACTGTGAATGATGAAACTCAGTCGCAGTCTCATTCCTTAAACTCTGAAAGATTTTCTGAGCACCATCAATAGAAAAATGTCTTCACAGCGTTTTGCTGACATGTTTCATTGTAGAGATGGGGTAATAGGTTTTCCTCAGCATGTTTCTTGGTGGTCAAAAAGTTCATTTTAAACCCTATCCTACCGAAGTACATATGTACACTGATGGCAGACACTCCATCAGTTTTGATGTTTTGCTTCTCATTTAGGGTTAACCTATCCCCACTTTAATTTACATCTGTCATTGTGAGGAGTAAAATATGTACGAACAATGAAAATCAATTTGTCCACATCACTATTCTTTAAATTTGAGATTTCAACACTTTTATGTTAAGGTTGCTAAATTTATGCGTGATGAGATGTGCCTCCCTCAACGCTGGTGACATTGTGTTGCATTGACTGATTGATGCATGGGCAACAGATGCTCTTCTTCTATTCTGATTTGATTGAAAGCAAATCAGAATCAGTACCTCACTAGCCATAAACCTCAGGAGATGTCACTCTGAACCAATCATTGTATTCAGATGTGTTGAAGGGATAAACCTAAAACCTGTAAGGCGGAAACTCTGGAGACTGGAGTTGGAAACGCTGATTTATGCCTCTTTTGCTTTTGCTGTTGTTGTATCTTGTGTTATGGCAGGTTAATTGGGAAACTTCTATTTCAGTTTTTGATTATAGACCTAATTGGTATTCTGATATCTAGTCTTTATTTTTATCGTTTTCACTGCCTAAGCCTGATCAGCAGAAGGTTGTTATCCCTGACCTGCTCAACCCAGGCCATGCAGTCTGTTTGATGCATTTTGCTTATGTTGTAGCTGGACATCCACTAACACACATTCATTCAGCATGTCTTAGTCAGTTGTATATCCTAATTAACCCAAATTAATTGCTGAGTTACAGATTAAAAATTCCAACTCACAGAAACTAGATTTTAAATTGACAATTTGATGCTTTTTATTTTACCTAAACCAACATGATGCCCACATCACAGTTAGCTCCAAAGGATGCACCTGAACCATTTAGATTTTTTTTTTTTTTTTTTTTTTTCCCGCCATTAATACATAAAGCACATCCCATCATCATAATCGGTACTAATTTAACTTGCAGCAAGGCATTGGTAAAAGCAGATAACAGCCTCATAATTGGACTAATTACCTCCAGATATGTTGCTTCTTTTGGCTAAATGGCAGTGAAATGCCACAGTGACTGGTCCTTCTGGCTGCCATTGTAAACAGGATTTAGTGAAAAGGGCAAGGGCTGTGTTCAATAAATTCAGTGACCCTTTTTAATCTCCACTCTTTTGAGTGGATCGGTTTGTTGAATGTTCTCGCAGTGTAATCACTGGGACTCAAAGTTGGGCCCTGCTAATTAGCTAACAGTCAATAGAGACCACCTGGGTGCTCAGGAAGACAATTGTTAGTGGTCAATTACTTCTTTCAGTCGTTTTCTTTCTCTACTCTATCTGGGCTTTTTCTTCTCAACAAGACGACATGAGTCTCCCTTACCTGCTGTTGTCATCACTTATTTCTTGCGTTGTGCGATTCTACATCTCACCGTCCCTTTGAGTTTACATCTCCAATCTCCTTTCCTCGTGTACTCTGTTCCTCTGTCTGTATTT